ATCTGTTCAGTAATGATTTCTGTTTAGCAAATGACTCAGTAGGAATGTGCATGGATTAAATAGCCATTGCAATTCACAAGATTAAGATACCTCTCATTGTGGTGTGGAGAAAGTATAGACACAAGGCATCATAGTGAAAGGAGATAAAAAGCCAGGTCCTTTACAAACAGAACTGCCTAGCTAGATCAGGTTGAAGGTTCTTCTAACATCCCCTTTCCAAAAATTCCCAGCCAAAAGTATCTGGAGTTCGGGGAATAAGTTATGCTGTAGCCATAATTAGTGGCAAATTCCTTAACATCCAACATTCAGAGATCGATGGCCCTTAATCCAAAGGTGAGCAATTTGTGGTTCTTGGCCTAATATCAAAAGCATAGTTCATGAACATTGTTCAGACCATTGCTAGGAGCTGTCTTCTTTCCGCCAAAAACTTCAAAATATTTTGCACAACACTAATCTGGACCACTGGCAAAAAGCCAGTGATGGACGATGGCAAAAAGCCATCCCAGATGATCCATCAAGGCATGGATTATCACCATGCAGACATCAAGGTTTTTCCTCCACTATCCGTGAGACACAGAGCAGCAAATGCTCATCAGGTCTTAAAAGTAGGAGCAGCTTGACTTAGAAGGCCATTGCCAAAGTATCTGCAGCCTACATTCTTCAGGATTTAAATGTCATCATCAATGTTTTGAACTGTGTGCAGCAGCAAAACTAATAACTGGAGCAGCCATTGAACAACAGATCCTGAGTAGTTGTAATGGAATGTGAACCTGCAGCAGCAGAGGAGATGTAGGAGACGACCAGGCTGAGCCCAAGGACAGGGTCAAATGCATCATCAGTCTGGAGTTCGTATGCCCCCAAAAGAGACCTAAGTCCAGCCCCTCCCCATTCAAAGTCTGTTGACTCTTATCTGACACCCATTTGCCTTGACCGTTAGTAGATCAGATTCTTTGTACAGGTTGCCTGGAATAAACTTGCGGTGCTTTTGAATATCTAAAAAGGTTAAATCATGGCAAATGGACCAAAGTTTATTATAAACTTCGGTGCAGTCGTTAATATTTAACCTTTTTAGATACTTTTGGCCTGGATGATTGGATCTTCATTTACACAGTGCTTTTGAACTTTATCCTGGCTCCTGATTTCCTCCACCTGACAGGAAGAGAAGCATTTTTCCAACTCAGAGTCTTCCCAGAAACAGGTCCAGATGAAGAGACTGGGCAGTCCAGAACAGGATGGTGGAGGGGAGAAAGCAGTTGAGGGTAACCAGACCTTAGCATCTCTCAGGATATATTTAGTAGGTTAGAAAGTTATGCCTTTAGTTTGGCAAGATTCTGTCCATTAGGAACACCAAATAAAGGACTGAACCCAATTGGATCTTACTGTCTCTTGACTGGGTTTAGGCCTGATAGTAGCCCTGCCTACATCAGAGTCACCATGTGTGAGTTGGGCAGCCATAATTAATTGTTTAATAAATACATATTTACAGTGCTACATTCTGGATTAAACATTACTTCCAGACTGGGGAAGGAAATCCTTCATTAATAGAACCAGAAGAATTAGGACATCTATTAAACCTATCTTCCACAATGGAAACTAAATTCTACCTAATATAATAAGATATGAAACATGCCTCCCATTACATCTTCCTTGATGCCAAATCATTGAAATTTCTGAATGCCCTCTTCCTCGGCTTCTTATGAATTAAACTTTACGGTGTGTACATTTTTAATCTGGGCGCAAAATTTATTAACACGTTACGTGATTGGCTATTTATCTCTGTCCCCGTGGATGTTTAGAATACAGTGTTTTGTCTGTTTGCGGTTAGATTTGTGTCTATTATACGAAGGTGCAACAGCCCACTCTTCGGTTTACATTTGGTTACAATTTAAAATCCTCTCGTAAATATTTCAGACACTGGAATAATTCAGCCTTATTCCCTTGTTGCCGTAGTGTGGTCTGGGCTGGCCAGAAAGAGATTAAAATTTATTTCCATTGTTTAAGGGAAAATAATGAACTGCATCTGCTGGAGTTCTCACGTGTCATGGGGGAAATGTTCACTTTGGAACAGCGTCCCAGCTCCACCTAGCTAGACTGTCAAATGACGAAACCTTTTTGGCACACAAAAGCAACACGTTTGGGGGCAGGAATGCAAAGGCACCCTTAATGCGAAGTATGACAAGTGCCTTTTGGCATGAATTAAACTCATATTGAGGAGAGAGAGAGAGAGAGAGAGAGAGAGAGCAGGAAAGAGCACGCATCTGTTCAGTCAGCATAAAAATGGTCTAGGAAGAAAAAACGGTTTTCCGATCCCTCCTTTCCCAAAAAAAGGGAGGAGAAAGGAAAGGAAATAATTTATCAACTGTTAAAGACTCTTTTACAATGGGATATCTAGGATTAAGGCAATCCTCCTTGCCCCTTGTGAAATTCTTATTCTTTTCTCTTTGTCATTCAAGAAGAGAAGGACGAGGGGGGACATGATAGCAGTGTTCCAATATCTCAGGGGCTGCCCCAAAGAAGAGGGAGTCAAGCTATTCTCCAAAGTTCCTGAAGGCAGGATAAGAAGCAACGGATGGAGACTAACCAAGGAGAGAAGCAACCTAGAACTAAGGAGAAACTTCCTGACAGTTAGAACAATTAACCAATGGAACAACCTGCCTCCAGAAGTGGTGAATGCTCCAACACTGGAAGTTTTTAAGAAGAGACTGGACAGCCATTTGTCCGAAATGGTATAGGGTTTCCTGCCTGAGCAGGGGGTTGGACTCAGATAACCTCCAAGGTCCCTTCCAACTTTATCATTATTATTACTCCTAGACTTCAATCTTACTGCCCCCCCCCCCCCGTCACAAACATGAACTGAAGTTCACAACTACAATGTCCAAGTTCTATTTCCCCGAATCTGAGGATGTTTCCAACATTTTCTTTATCCATACAACTTCCTGGATTTTCCAGTTTTGTCGTGCCTACTCTTAACTTGGAAATGGAGCTTTCGTTTGATTTCTAGGCTATTCGTAGGTTGCCAAAGCATGCTACAAGTTTTATTTATTTACGTTTCATATTTCTTAAACGCCCATCTCTTTTCCTTCACGTGTGTTGGCTCCCTCGTGCCTCTTTTTTGTCTCTTTAATATTCTATGATGGGTTTACACACAAGATGCTTCAATTAGATATCTAGCAGCAACCAGTGTTTCTGAATGAGAGGATATTCAGGTCAGATTAAGGGGAGATGAATGATGGAAGACACAGGTTAAAAGGAAGCAGTTAGCCTGTGGAACTCACTGCAGCAAGATGTAATGATGGGCATCAACTTGGAAACTTCCTTCCTTCCTTCCTTCCTTCCTTCCTTCCTTCCTTCCTTCCTTCCTTCCTTCCTTCCTTCCTTCCTTCCTTCCTTCTTTCTTTCTTTCTTTCTTTTTTCTTCTTTCTTTCTTTCTTTCTTTCTTCCCTCCCTCCCTCCCTCCTTCCCTAATATTTTGGGAATTGGAAATGGTTTGCCAATGCCTTCTTATTGCTATGATGGGAGAGAGTGTGATTGGACCCAAGGCACCAAGTTGGCTTTGTTTCTAAGGTGGAACTAGAACTCACAGTCACCCACTTTCTAGCCCTGATATTTTTTTCTGTATGCAAAAAGCTTTTGTGGAGATTTTTTCCCCCCCTGCATATTTCCCAGCAAGACAGGAAATGTAGTCACCATGTTAGCACAGAAGTGAGATCAGTGCCTTGGCTTCTTCCTGTCTTTGAGCTGTTTCCATTCTATCTTTAAGTAGTACATCTCTCAGAAGAGTGTTATGATCAGACCCACAAACCATTACGGCTTTATATCACAAGGACCTGTTTTCCTTTACTCTTTCCATTCCTCTTCCTTTGAGTTGCATTGTTTTTAGAAGGCAATTATGGAAGCAACTTTGAATAAAGAAATGACCATATCCAACTAAGGAGGAGGAGGAGAAAGGCAAAGAAGAATGGATGGATTTGTTCAATCCCTAAAGATAGTGGTGATGATGGATAACTATCATTATGGAACGTTCCAAAGTTCCATAAGTTTCATCTCAGACAGGACCTAGATAACGTACAGTACATTCAGTAAATTTGCTTCGGGAAGACCCACTTGAATTCCTGGAGACTAGAGAAAGGATGACCAACGTTTTTATCACCATGTTATCTGAACATTTGGGGTAAAATGATTGGCATGTGCCTTATATGCACATGAGATGTCATGCATTTGTTATGTTTATGTACCATCAATATCTGGTGGCAGATATCGAAACCTGTTCTCTTATTTTTCCCCATAACATCTAATTCTGCTCTTGAAGGCTGAGGGTGATCTGAATATGAGTATGCCTGGTCCTATTTTAGCATCTTTACCACTGCCTCACACTGGGATCTTCCCTTTCTCCCCATTTACAGCTTTTTGAAAGAAAGTTGGAGATATTGTCTGCTAAAAAACTTTGGAAGAGCTACCCACTGTCTGTTGCATCAAAGCATGAGAATCTTGTTCATGTCCTTAGGAGGTGATGTTTAGTAGAGACTTAGTAGTTTTACATGAAGATTCAACTCAAATATTTGGTTTAAAGATAAATCAACTTACCTCTTTGTATTAAAACTGGTCTGGCATATTGAATTAAATCAGGTCTGTTCAAACTGATTTGGTGATAAAGCTGGACTTTTACAGAAATGGTCCCCACACATTTTTTGGGGGAACTGATGAACCAGATTATATTTGGATGTTTCAATGGACAATCCAAACTGAATCAATTCAGCTGTTAAAATCAAACCGTTGATTCATTTCATCTTGGGCAAGTGTACATTGCTGTACTATCGTAATCAAGACAGAAAAGCTATTTTTTTTGTCCCATTTAGTAGGTTAATTCCTTATAAGGATTGGATTTACTCTTACAAAACAAAAATGTGAGCTTAAACTTGACTAGGTAATGAAACATGGATCATGGAGATGTAATTTATCTGCCTTTCTCTTTTCTGCTTTTTTTTTTTTTTTACATCCAGGTTGTGTTATCAACAACAGTGAATGTTGACGGGCATGTCCTGGCCGTATCAGACAATATGTTTGTTCACAACAACTCAAAACATGGGCGAAGAGCAAGGAGACTTGATCCTTCCGAAGGTATGCTTACTTCATTGGTCTTCAGGGTGATGGTAGAAGAAGTCATCCAATATACGTTACATTCAAAAGAATGCAAAAGAACTTGTGTGGTGATACGAATTTTAACCATAAACCTCCACCTCTAGGTTTTTACACATCTGGCTTCCTCCAGGATAAAACTTTTCCCAAAGTCTTCCAAAACGTGATGCCAGGTTGTAATTTTTATCAAGGGGCAGGAAGGAAAAAGTTATTTACCAATATAACTGGAGAACAATCAGTTTAATTGTGATTAATTTGAATACATTTTTAAGATCAATGAGATCCAGTTGAATTGAGTTTGTCTCCTGGCCTCATGTACTATTTTGGGCTAGTCACTTGCCAAGGCCTTCCAAAAGCCAAAATAAGACAAGTTGCACATTCCTATACTTGTTTTTCCGCATTCCCTAACATGTTCCAAGGATGTCCTTTGAGAGCATATTGAAATACATCTCTTCTTTCTCTCTTATCAAGAGTGCCTTATTAGTCCTCCTGATCATGAGACAATCATAAGAGAGGCAGGAGCCCCCAGTGGCTTAACAGTGAGAGAAGAAAACTTAGGAAGAACCCACCCTAATGGATCAGGCTGTTAAAAGTGCCAGCAGGAAGTTTGTACTTTGAAGCTTGCAAGATTTGGTTAATGTAGCTTCACAATCAAGTAGAATTAATTCATCTAGTCATGCTTCTTATCTGGTTTGCCTGGAAAGACTGATGGTGCTTGAGCAGGACAGACCAAAGGCAGGCACTACCTAACCCCAAGCATCAGAGCTGACTCAGTTCCTGTTCTTTACCACTTGTTTGGTCTCCAGTCCTGGACCTAGTTCTCATTGTGTGGGACTAGGAGTGTAGACCCTTCCATAGGGACTTTATTCCTTCTTCACCTACATTCTTTTCTATGCCTGCCAAGATTGGCAAACTGCAGCTATACTTTCCTGTCATGTGGCAGTGAGTGGCCCAGTTTCTATGGTTCTACACTGAGTCTGAGCAAACATCCTCCTTTCTCTCCCTCTTTCTCTCTGTCAATCCCTCTTGGTCTCATCTCACATCGTATACATTCTGAAATGGGCCATGGGGATTCCTTTAGAGCAGGGGTCCCCAACCCCCTGGCCCATTTGGAACCAGGCCACGCAAGTGGTGGATGAGCACGCTTGCACACACAGCTCCACTTGCACTCACATATGCACCTGACACTCACATGGAATCGTCCCCACTCCCTCCCCCCAGCTCCCACCAGTCTGCCAAGCCGGAAAGGTTAGTGACCGCTGATTTAGAGATCATCCTTATCAGCCGAGAAATGAATGTTACTCTCAGGTCCCTTGCTCTTTCTTGAGCCCTGCGGCAAACCATAGCAAAATTACTTGGAGAGTTGTGTGCATTCCACAGGCCAGGCTGTGGATTTCTTGAGCCAACCGTAGCAGCCTAGTTTACACCTGATGCTAAACTACAAGCCGTGATTTAGAAACAACAGTGTCTAAATTCACACATCCCAGGGCTTAATGAATCACGATGTGTTGAATAGACTATGTTTATGGTTGATGCGCGGCCCTAAATTATGATTTGCAAATGGAAGTGGCTGGACTCTCAAACTGCACTAAGCCAAAATCAACCTCCACTATGGCTTAGAATAACAAGCTCGTTATTTTTACGTCCCCTGGTATTACCACCATAATTGTATCCACCTTTGTGGTCATGCCATACAAATGGACAAGGCAGGATATTTTTTTCTTTCTGTTTTGTAAGAAGGAATGTTTCTTTTGCTGCTCAGACTACGTGAAGTCTATTTGAACTGGTATCTCGGTAGTAGTAGTAGTAGTAGTAGTAGTAGTAATAATAATAATAATAATAATAATAATAATAATAATAATAATAATAATAATAATAATAATAATAATAATAAAGTTGGAAGGGACCTTGGAGGTCATCAAGTCCAACCCCCTGCTCAGGCAGGTAATCCTATACCATTTCGGACAAATGGCTGTCCAGTCTCTTCTTAAAAACTTCCAGTGTTGGAGCATTCATCGCTTCTGGAGGCAGGTTGTTCCACTGGTTAATTGTTCTAACTGTCAGGAAGTTTCTCCTTATTTCCAGGTTGCTTCTCTCCTTGATCAGTTTCCATCCGTTGCTTCTCGTCCTGCCTTCAGGCACCTTGGAAAATAGCTTGACTCCCTCTTCTTTGGGGCAGCCCCTGAGATATTGGAACACTGCTATCATGTCCCCCTTCGTCCTTCTCTTCATTAAACTAGACATACCCAATTCCATCAACCTTTCCTTATATGCTTTAGCCTCCAGTCCCCTAATCATCTTTGTTGCTCTTCTCTGCACTCTTTCTAGAGTCTCAACATCTTTTTTACATCGTGGTGACCAAAACTGGATGCAGTATTCCAAGTGTGGCCTTACCAAGGCACTTAAATGTTACCACGTCACCGTGAAATTTGACAGTGACGTGGAAGCTCCCAGGTTTTCCACTTGCTCTGACCTATCAGTTCTTGCCTAAAATCAGCATAATCTCCTCTCATTTAAACTAGGAAAAATGAGCAAAACAGAGCAAAGTGTAGCACAAGGACAGATATGTCTTAGTAATTTAGAATGGGACATGTTATCCACCTACACCAGGACTTGCGGAAATTGTAAAAATCACAGCATTGTGAAAAGAAGGAAAAATCACAGCATTTATATCTGAGTCCAGTTTTTATATCTGTGACGTTGGGCCATGTAAGGAAAGGACTGGAATAATAAGGTGGGGCCTGTATCCAGCCAAATAAAATCAACAGCCTCTCTGCAGACTTGCTAGTTCAATTTTGAGCACTGGGGGAGTCAAGGAAAGAAACTCACATCCCTGGCCCAGTTTCCTCCCCCCCCCCCTGACTAGTTCATAATTGCCCAGGAGTGGTGGAGATATATTCACAAGTGACCCAGTTCTTTCTCTCCTTTCACTTTGCAATCTTCTTCAATCGTGCACTTTGGCCGCAAGAATGTGGCTCATTGGCCGTGGCTAAACTCCATCTGCTGGAGTGTTATCTTGCTCACTCAAGGAGCCATTTCTCGCAGTTCAAGTCGATGGCCTCCGAATGTGCAACTGTCATTTTGCCAAAGAAGTTGAGTTGCCCCTGACTTTTCCTCCTCTCTCTCTCCCACCCTAACCCACCCCTTTACTCTTTGCATTTGCAAGAGCCAACAGGCGACACGCTACCTCCTCTGCCAAAGCACGTCAGACTTTTAGCTCAGCTGGGCTGGAGTTGATCTTTGAGCAAATCAAGCCACATGACATCTTAGTTAAACAGAAATGGGACCCTCAAGCAAGATGTGTATGAAAAAGTGTCAGCCACTCGCTTAAACAAACGGCGCGAAACATAACAATGCGCAGAAGGGAAACTGACACTAATTGATTTTCGTTTGTTTGGCTAAGCGAGGCATCGGCCATCGGTCTGCAGGCTGTATTTTCAAGCAATTACAAATCGTTGGATCTGCTAAGCTTCAAATTGGATAATCGCCTCCACTCTCTCTCCAAGCCCCATTCTGGCACCAGGTCTTTTTGTTTTTTCCCTTTTTTTTTTCCTTCCCCCTTTCCCTTTTTCTTTAAAAAAAAAAAGCACGGAGAAGCCCCTCTTGGGCCGTTCCCTGTAGCGAGTGAAAGTGAGAAAGCTTTGTGACGTTACTAGAAGAGACAAGTTGGTCTATTATTTCATTAGGCTTGTTTTGTTGCATTTCCCCCCTCCCCTCCCTCCTTCCTGTTAAAATGTGCCCTGCCTCAACCTAGAGGAGAATTAATGAACTGGAAGAAAAATGATTGAATCAGTGAAGAATTCAGAGCAGTGTTAATTCTCCCCCAGCGGGCAGTGAAATGGTAGAAGGAAAACTCCCAAGCTTCTAAGCCTACGAAAACCTTCCACTTTTTCCTTGACTGATTGAATGTGATTGACTGGCTGTTCAAAGGAGTCTTATAGTTTTGGAGCTCTGCCAAGCCTCCCTGCCACCTTTGACCTTGTCAACATTGGGAATCGAGTGATGGATTGACTTTGGTTATGGACTGGAAAACCATATTGGGATCTTGATGGGATGTATAGTCCAGAGGCCTTGAATGGATGGGAAGGAGGGGAGGGGGGGGCAAGATGGGGGATTTACCCTATCTTATAAAAACCAGGCGTGCTTAGCATGAGTTAAATTGGGATGAAATGGGAGGATTTTCACTATATTCAAGCCATCGGTGAAACTCTCGTTTTTCAACACGCAGCTCTGGAGGAAAAAGAAATATTTTTATTTAATCAAAACAATTTGAGGCGCCATCAGATTATGACAAAAAAAAACTTCAGGTCTACTCCAAGAGACAGACAATACATATTTTTTTTTAATCACGAGGAAGCGCATGCTAAGGAAAAAGGAGAGAAAAAGAGAATGAAGAAAACAGGAAAAGTGTGTATTTTTCTCAAGAGAAAACTGCAAGTATGGAAGTGTGGTTAATAGCTGACTTTGCACATCATAGTCACTGTGGTGTGTGTGTAATCATAATTTACTTAATTAACTACAGTGACCAGCTTTTTTATATGCCATCAACCATAGGTTGTAAATCACAAGAGCTGATTTCACATGGAAACACCAATATCAAGCAAACTGGATCAGTGGAATATATCAAACAGATCAAAGTGAAAAAAACCCACAAAAATAACCAATAAGAACATTGAGGTTAACTTCCATCAAGATTGCAATTATAAATAAAAAAGGTTAAACATTTCTTTTTTCATCCTAAAGGGATTGCTTCTGTGGCTTCTGTTTGAATTTTGTAACTAGGCCTATTGATTGCAAGATTGTGGTGTAGGCATGTGTACCAAGTCACCATAACGTCAAGAGGAGGACATGATGACATTGAGTCAGTGCACAAATATTACAATTATGTACTTGGGTCATGATGTCTGAAAGAAGTAAACTGTTTGCATGATGTCATCTGTCGTCATTCATCCCCTTCCCAGGGACAATCATGCATGTTTAATGTTGCTGTACTTTTGTTGCACAAGAATACTGTTGTGTTCTTATCACAGCAAGATCTCCTTACCAGTGATTCAGGCAATACACAATCAAAATAAGTCAAAACTTCCATTCTGGAAGTCTATGGAGATTCTCAGTCATCCAGATGAGGTTGTCCCAAAGGTGCTTTTTCAAGAGGCAACTGGACTTTCTTTATTTTTGCTTGAAGACATGTCACTTGTCACCCAAGAAACCTCTTCAGAACTGAAGAAGCTTCTTGGATGAGAAGCGAAACATCTTCAAGGAAAAACAAAGAAAGTCCAGATGCCTTTCAAGAGAAATGAAGGCAAACTAATGTATGAAAATCTTCGGTGTTGTGACCCTCTGGCTACTGAAGTGGTCCTCATAGGTGACAAGTTCAAACCTCTGAGTTAGTGTGATGTTTAAATATGAACAAAGAATAATGAAAGATTAAAGAATTCTCTTGGATGAGAAGCGAAACATCTTCAAGGAAAAAACAAAGAAATCCAGTTGCCAGAAGCACCTTTGGGAATTCCATTCTGGGAATATAATGTCCATCCCTGACTGTTTCCTCTAAGAAATGTCTCATAAGCTTTTGCACCACCAGGAGATTGGAAAAGTTTCATGACATCAGCCTGACAGCGATAGCATGGTCTTTTTTGCTGCAATTCGCCTGAACCCGGGAGAAGAGTCTGTACTGCAAGGTCTTAAAAACGAATTTGATAATGGAGAAGTTTACTTTTCCAAGCCACTCTTCTTCTACAGCTGTTTTTTCCTAGTAGACTAGGATTTAAATGTTCCATTTGACAACTGAGTGGGTGGAATTAGTTTCACCTTGCATGACTGAGCCTGTTTGGGGTTAACTGTGATCCTTTGGGGATTGGCTAACTGGGTCAGTTAATCACAACATATTAAACCCCTAATTGTCCCAGTTAAGCGTGTTGTGGGAAGAGGTCTACAGCAAAGATGGATATAGGCCTCTTCTATTATACTCTGCTCTTTGTAATTCCCTCAAGGCTTGTACCCAGTGAGAGAAAGATCTTCCATGATTTTTTTTTCTAATTTAGTGGCTATCATCACAAAAAAACAGCTGCTTTTTTATTAGAATTCTCTCTTTTTTAAAAATTTTGTTTTCTTGATGGAGGAAAGCATTCATGATCGATGACTTATTCCATGATGTTGCCATATCAATCACTTTGGGAAGACTTGCCTCCTGGAAGACACCCATGCCTTTTTTGAAATGAGCAAGCAACTAAAAAGAAGAATTTGCTGAAAATGCTTTATATAAAATTGGGAAATACTGCGGTCATGATTCGCTTCCCTGGTGGAGTCCTTTATTTTTGCTGATCACTACTTTAATCCCATTCAAGAGCAGTGATGTGTCTAATCAAGTACTGACTGATATGAGTGTTAGCCACTCTCCAGAGACACAGGTGGAATTCTCATTCTGGCTATCTAAAACCCTTGGGAGTTTCTGTAATAGACTAGACTAGACTAGACTAGACTAGACTAGACTAGACTAGACTAGAATAGAATAGAATAGAATAGAATAGAATAGAATAGAATAGAATAGAATAGAGCTGGAAGGAACCTTGGAGGTCTTCTAGTCCAGCCTCCCGCTCAAGCAGGAGAATCTATACCATTTCAGACAAGTGACTGTCCAGTTTCTTCTTAAAAATCTGCAGTGAAGGCAAGCTCTTCCACTGGTTAATTGTCCTCACTGTTAGGAAGTTTCTCCTTAATTCCAGATTGCTTCTCTCTTTGATCAGTTTCCAACCATTGTTTCTTGTCCTGCCCTCTGGTGCTTTGGAGAATAACATGACCCCCCTCTTCTTTGTGGCAGCCGCTCAAATACTGGAATACTACTATCATGTCACCCCTATTTCTTCTTTTCTATAGATTAGGCAAACCCAAGTCCTGCAGCCGTTCTTCATATATTTTAGTCTCCAGGCCTTGGATCATCTTAGTTTCTCTCTCTCTCTCTCTCTCTCTCTCTCTCTCTCTCTCTCTCTCTCTCTCTCTCTCTCTCTCTCTCTCTCTCTCTCTCTCTCTCTCCCTCTCTCCCTCTCTCCCTCTCTCTCCCTCTCTCCCTCTCCCCACCTCCCTCTCCATCATCGCTATCACTTCATAGGGATTTCATTGAGGGCAAAATTGCATGAATCCTTCCCATGTACCTCACTTCAAGCTCCCAGAGGAATTAAATGCAGGAAATCGTCATTTATCATCCCAATTTACCTGACTTCTTTCTCCCTGGCTACACAGAACACTTACGTGCTTCTGTGTGTGGTTTAATGTGTTCTATGAACCCAGTCATTTGTGGTCCTTTCAGTAAATATGATGGAGGAAATCTCGCTTTCTATTTGTGTGTTAAGTCAATGTCTTAATTCCAGTGAGGCAGCAAAACTGTGAATCTTCAGTATTTCTCCAAACTTCGGTTCCCAGACTGGAGAAGAAGGCAGGGAAGTGGCGAGCCATAAAAACCGAATGAAAATTCTCATGTGAATTGTCCTAAATTCTTGACAGCATAGAAGATGGACATCGCTGAAAGGCAAAAGAATTTTCCAAAATTATCCAGAAACAAGAGAATACGGGGTGAAAAAGGTCTTTTCAGCATCTGTTTTAGGCACTCGTTTTGTCCTTTCTCTCTGCCTTTGGCAAACCCCTGCTAAACAAACTTGAACAAGCTTGTTTGGGATAGATTTTCTTGGCTGGGAATTTCCAGGAAGAGAAAACTTAGCTATCTCTTCAGAGTCCCAGGGCAAACTGAGTGGAGTAATACAGACTAATGATGATGAAAATGAATCTACATGATTGAAATATTAATGGATCACCATATAGTATCAGATTTTGCATTCTCACCTAAACACCATATTCCCACAGCACTGTCTTATGTTTAATCTCCTTGGATTTTATTTGTTTGTAGTAGAGCTGGCCAATAAAGAATATTCTATTCTATTCTATTCTATTCTATTCTATTCTATTCTATTCTATTCTATTCTATTCTATTCTATTCTATTCTATTCTATTCTATTCTATTCTGTTTTCTGTTCTAAATTCTATTCTATTCTATTCTATTCTATTCTATTCTATTCTATTCTATTCTATTCCATTCCATTCCATTCCATTCCATTCCACTCCACTCCACTCCACTCTTCTTGTTGTTGTTAGTTGCAAAGTCGTGTCCGATCCATCGCGACCCCATGGACAACGTTCCTCTACTCTATTCTACTCTACTCTACTCTACTCTACTCTACTCTACTCTACTCTACTCTACTCTACTCTATTCTCATTAATTGCAATTCATAACTACCTGAAGCTCATGAGGTTGGGTGATCTCATGACTTTTGAGTGTGTGTATGTGTGTTTAATAATTTGTAACTAAATATTATGTTTTCACAGTTCCCATAAGAGGTATCATTGTGCCTTGTGCTACATTGCTTTTATACGGGGGGGGGGGGGGAAATAGCCGAGAAATTGGAAGCCATAGAACCATCAAAAGAAGTCTTCATAGGAGCTTCATCTGAAAGCTAACTCTATTGTCCCTTTCTTTTCTTTTTCTTGTCACTTCTCTCTTTAGCTACCCCATGCATCAAAGCTATTAGTCCAAGTGAAGGCTGGACCACTGGTGGAGCCATGGTGATCATTATAGGGGACAACTTTTTTGATGGGCTTCAAGTCGTATTTGGGACCATGCTTGTGTGGAGTGAGGTAGGCAAGCTTGCTTCCTAGTTGCATTTTTTTTCAGACTGTTCTTGAACAGTCAAGGTAGTTCGGAATTGCACTAATCATCTCTCAGAGAATAAAATGCAAATGGTTGCATCCAAGGAGAGCAAAGTTTCATAACGTTTTCCATTGCTATCTTTCTGTTTTAATTTGAGTCCAGTCTACACAGTTATACATTATGTAGTGCAAATGTCCGTGCTTTCTTTCATTCAGATTGATTACCATCTTCCAAACAACAACAAAAAACAATGCTGATGTGATTATAGATACCATGCATGTGCACACAGGCAAACACACATACACAAACACACACACACATTGTCTTTTACATATAGGCCTGTACTTCTGTGCATGGATTAAAGCATACTTCACAAAACCAGAAAATATAGTCAAAGGAATAATTCATAAAGTGTCAGAATTCAAGGTAAATAAATAAATAAATAAATAAATACAGTAAAGATATCCACTTCTAACGTGCTATTATAAAACCCAAAAGAAAAATCACGGGGAATTCCAAATTATGCTAATTCCACTTTGGAAAATAGAGCAAGTAGTTTAGAATTCCACAGCTGGGGAGAAATATTTCAAAAGTATTTCTAATCTGGAACTTCAAATTGTACTCATCTCTCTGTGTTTGTATGTCTGTATGTGTGTATGCTCGCATTTATGCAGTACACACACACACTATTTTTTATTCTTTTTTTATTTAAGGTTTTAATACCTATCTTTCTAGGTATTAAAAGTTTTAATACCTATCTTTCTAGGTATTAAAAGCACTGATCACTAGCGCTGATGATGTTACCTAGTTTGGGTAATGAACCATTTGCTAGAAAACTAGCAAGCTTAGAGAGCACCAAAGACCCCTCATGTCAACCCTGAGCTATAAATATTTTCCTTTATTAGTACCGTTCTATTCCAACGGACACTCACTGACATCTTTATATAAGAAACAGGCAAAACCAAAAAAAGACAGATATGTCCTCACCCCAAATTGAACAGATAAAACAAACGCAATTGCAAAAGAGATGCGCCCTAACAGATATTCTAAAGAGGAATCAGAAAGGAATGCATCCTATAGGTTGATGGAAACGCAGGGGAAAGCGTCTCTCATACTTTCTAAGAAATTGGCTTCTAAAAGTGAGTATATTTTCAGAAGAGCTTTTCGTGATTTTAATGCCTGGACAGGGTCATAAAGAATGAATGAATCTTGCGAGATAATCAGAATCTGGTCCATTTAAGGGCTTCAAATGTTAAATACCTCAAATTATTTTGGGAGAATTCTTAGCCCCAGTGTAGCCATGCAGTTCAGGCTTCACATGAGATACCAGTGTCACCTAGTTCACAGCATAGCTTTGGTCCAGTATTGTTTCCAGAGACTTGTGCCTTGTATAAAAAAGTACAATGTAAGAATAATTCAGGATATATACAAAATCTGAATAACTGTTCCCGAGCTCTTCACAGTTAATCACATAAGGATGTCTTCATGTCAAGATTGCTTCCTATTGATGAGATAGACAGAATCAGACTATTTTTCTTGACAATATTATGGAAGTGGCTTGTCATTGACCTTCCTTCCTTCCTTCCTTCCTTCCTTCCTTCCTTCCTTCCTTCCTTCCTTCCTTCCTTCCTTCCTTCCTTCCTTCCTTCCTTCCTTCCTTCTCCTTGGATTTTATTTATTTCCCCACCTGGGAATTTTCTGGGATTTTCTATACTAGCAAAACCTTTTCCTGTTTAATTTTTGACCCGAGAGACTTATCTGAAGACCCCAATAACTCAGCACTTTTTCAAATACTGGGAAAGTTCCCTTCTACTAAATTTTGACTTACAGATTCATCAACAAGCACACACTGAGAATGGGTGCTGCTTTTCTGGCAAAATCACAATTGTCATAACTGTCTCAATATATTTTCTTTTCTTTTTTTTTCTCAGCTGATCACCCCACATGCCATCCGGGTCCAAACACCTCCTCGTCACATCCCTGGCGTGGTTGAAGTAACATTATCGTACAAATCCAAACAGTTTTGCAAAGGAGCTCCTGGTAGATTTATTTATACAGGTATGTGAAAATATCACATTGCGAAGCTGCGATTGTTGGGAGGACTTCATTTATCTCCCTCTGCTAAACTACTAAGGATTCAAAC